TGGGTCTTCCGCTTGACTGGCAATGTCAGAAATTGTTGACCTGAGTCCCCTACAGCTCAATATAACAGCATGGCTTTACTTCTCATACTTCGTTTTTATACTTTTCTGCTGGATGGTTAAGACCAAGGTAAAGCAGGACTTATGCAACAAGAGTTGTAGCTTTTTGGTCTGATAAGGTCAGTGAAATCCCCTCAGGATTTATCCAGAGATCCTGTACCTCAGATTATTTCTGAGAGTACTGAGAGCCACGTCCTACTAAACAACTAGTGTATGACTATTTGAATTTCTAGGTATAATTGGCATAACTATCACACTATTAAAATAAATTTCAGAAAGATCCATATCAAGTGCTGACCCATATCTATGGACAAATTTTCAATAAAGTGCAGGAAAACTAAATATCAAAATAAGAATAAGCAGCTGAAGTCAAGCACTTATCCTGCTGAGCCACCTCCCTGGCCCCTAAGGATTTTTTTTTTTCTCTGAATGCCTTCAGGGCAGGTTTGGCTGGCTGGAGTTGTGGGGATCGAACCACAACAACCTGAGCCTGACTGCTTTGTTGAAGCAGGCTCTTAAAGAACTGAGCTAAGGGACAGGCCCCCCTGTTCTAGTTACTTTCATTAGCTATATTAGAAAAATAGGTACTGAGCTCAGGAATGTACCTGGATTATAATGAACTTACCTAGAAAATACAAGTATCTGGGTTTAATCCCTAGCACAATAAGAAAGCGAAAATATCTCAATATAAAATTTTGAGGACAACCCATTTGGGCCCCTTTCTGTCCCTCAGACAAAAGCTTTCTTTCCCCCAATAAATATATTCTCATAACATAAAATAAAATAACATTTCAACTTACTTTAATTCAGAAAAATAATCAGTTCTCTAAAATATATTTACTGCCCCAGCGATGAAATATTTTAACTGGACAATTTAATTTCCTCTCCAGTTTTCACTTTTTTATTTTAAAGAGAATTTTAAAAAACAGTAAAAATGATACAGAATTTCAAAACAAGATTTGTTTTATTGCATATGGCTATCTTCAAAATTGTTCTTCAGATTATCAGATATAGACATGTAAAACTGGTGAATCAGGCATTAATTGTTCCTTTCAATTACCAATAGCAATTAGTAGAGTTTTCTTAGCTATATCTCCCTTCATTTTTTCTTTTTTTTCCTTTCTCCCATCCATGTTCTTACCTTTGGAAATCATGGTTCATCAGTGTTATTCTGTATTTTATGCAGCCAATAAATCCTCTTTTGGATAAAGATTCATGCATCTATACCATTTTATTCCTTTATGAGAATCACATTCATGAACATAGTATTTTTATTTTTTTCACTTTAATGAAAAAAAGATAAAATAGAAATGAGATAGTTTTATAGCAGTTTAGTTGGATAAATTTTTTTGTATTTTAAGAAATGGATTACAAGGTGTTCAGGGTCTTACTACTAGATCATACTCTTAGTGATCTGCCTGTTTACAGCCTTCGAAGAGCTGGGATTCCAGGCTTGCACCACCACTCCCAGTCTCAATTGCTGTCTCAGCACACCCCAAGGGCGGGGCTGGCAGGGCAGGCCCAGGGACCAAATGCCTGGTCCCTGCTAGCAGGGACTAATGTGCTGAGCTATTTGACCAGCCCTGTTTTTATTTTTAAAGAGAATTAAAATGTTTTAAAAAATTATAAATGGTACAGAGTTTCACTAAACAAAATGATTGGAATTCAGAAATGGTTGTTGTATTACATATTGCTGTCTTCAAATTAGTTGCATAGATTACCAGATACAAACATGTAATATTGGTCAAAAATTAAAAAGAAAAAAAAAAGAATTAACTGTTCCTTTCAAATTTTTAAGAAAATTATCTATAAGTATCAGGATTAATACTTTATAGATATAGTAGTTTAATATTCGTTCATTTCAAATATCATATCTAAAACAGAATTTGGGGCAAGTTAACTCAGTGGAAATGTAAACATTCAAGCACAGTGAAATTTATTAGCATTGACAGAAAATTCTTGTCATAGGCATCTAGATACAGTAACTTTCTAAACAAGAATGGGCTTTAAGTTTGAACAGAGTTAGAATTTGGGAATAAGTACAAGTGGGATTGGCTCTTGAATTGCTACTTGAAATTCTAAAAGAGATTGGGAAAAATATGATTTAGACTGATATCTAAATTTCTTCACTCCTTATTCATAGGAAGTAAAACAAAGTCAGGTAAACAAAAATTCTGTTAAGTTGATCCAGGTCATTTAAAGTTGACTTCAAGTTGAACAGAGACCATTATTTGGAAAGTGTAGTATATACATACAGACATAAGTCTTGTTACAGGTACAGAAGTCTGGGGCTGAGGTAGCCCTACAGTTTCTACCTACCCAGCCTACAACTTTAGCATAGTAGGATCCTGTTGACAGTGTCTAGGGAGTTGATTGGTCTAAAAAACAAATGAGAACTGCCTTAGAAAAGACAAGCCCTAGATAAGGAAAAGGACGAATGAAAGAAGGGCAAAAGATATATTTTGAAATATATGTAGAATAGTTTGGATAATTGTATTGTTGATTTCTGCTGGTCTATTGAAAGGAACAGTTAATGCTTTCTTAATTTATTTTTTCCTCTTTTCAGTTTCTTTTTTAATTGTTTTCTTTCATTTTAATGAGAAAAAAGATAAAATAGCAATGAAACAGTTTCTAAATAGGTTAGTAGGATGGTTGTAATAAATAATACAGAAAGCAGAATTAGAGACAGTAATTTCAGTATATGACTTGTAAATAGACTGTGTGTGTTTTCAAGGCCAGCTGTTGTGTGCCTGTTTTCTGAAGGCTACCACATTTATCAGCATACTCTATTTTCTTTGTGCTCTAAATTATATTGGTTTTACAGTCCACAGCATTACTCTGATAGATACGTAAATACCCTGCAAACTGTTGATTTTGCAGCCTCTGTACTTCATACTGCCTAGAGCTGGTCTGCCTTAACAGAGGCTACACTGCATGAGATGGACCTCTGTCACAGTAGTTCAGTCCCTAGTGCTGCCTGACTTCTGTTTTAGCCTCTATCGGTGCACCTCTGAATAAGGCTGTTCATCAGTTCTCAATATTTCCCTGTTTAATCCTGATCCTGTAAATTTGCCATTATCACTGAGATGTGAAGTTCATCTACTTCTTAGATCTCTGTTCACTCATGTATTCCTCAGGAGCACTTTACTCAGATTCTCACCATTAAACTACATTCCCGTGTTACAAGTTCCGACTTCTATTTCCTTACACAGGACTCATTTAGATACTTTAGTACTGTGGGGAGGGGTGAAGCGAGAGGATATGGTGGTATTTAAGGGAGCACAAATAAGTAAATCCATAACATCTATTTGTATAAATGATATAAATGGAAGTTGATTATTTGGAGGTTTTACAAAGACATCATGCTGTGCCTACAATGCTCCTTTATTTTCTGTGACATTTGATGTTCATAGTATTTTTGCATGGAAAAAAGCAACTCAATTCTTCATTATAGTATTTTATATCTTATCATATAGTATTTTCTTATAATATTTTATATTTAAGTAATCATTTTGCAGTTTCCAGGGAAAAACATAAAGTTATCTGAGATGAAAACAAAAAACAGACTTCCCGTGCCCCTATACTCTAACTTTGGTGTCTGGTGCTGTTTCTATGCAAGCTGAAGACTAGAAATGTGATACTGAATTTGAAGATTCTCATCAGTGTCCTGAATGCTGAAATTTTACCTTCTTTGCATGGGTGAGGTCCCAGCCATGCTCTGGCACATTGCAGATGCATGCTGCAGGTGAGCTACCTCCCTGGATCTAAACAGTCAACTATAAGGGAGTAATGGAAAGAGAAATTTAAACCTCTTGTCAACCAATCAAAAACAACAGAGTCCATGCTCATGAAGTCACTTTCCCTCTGTCAAGCACAGGGCTGCTGATCATTCTCCTATCCATTGCTAATCTTTGGGAAGCTTCTCCTAATATTACATTTCCACAGCGTCCTCACGGTCAGTCTAGTTCCCAAAACAAACCCATTGACTTGATAAGTAAGTTTAGGCCACATGTTAGTTTACTTTATTCTCCCCATTAAAATGAATATACCCAGGTGACAGAGAGGTGACAGTTGTCTGTGAGTTGTAGAAAACCTAAATTATTCCCTTTTTAATCAAGAAGGGAATAATTTCCAAGACACAGGTCCAGATTAAGGATGAAATATCAGATGTATTCTAGAGAGGATTTTTCTGAAGGACTGTATTTGGCCTATATACCACTAAATGCCAGTCTAAGCTAGGGGAAGGAAGCTGCCTCAGGCGTTTCCTTTGTTTTTTATTCTATAATAGAAAGAGTACACAGCTTCCCTTTGTATCCAGAAGGCCCAAAAGAGATACTCAACACACACGAATCATAATGGATTATATTAAAGTACTGCTTATGAATTTTTAATAGTTATTTGTAATACATTACCCATTACTTTATTGAAGAGTGTTATTTTATACCGTCAAGCTCGGTGTAACTTTCCATAAGTACTTAACATGCTTCCTATTTAAAAATATAATTTATACATTTCTCCATTCTTTCCTGATTTTTAGTGTTCTGAAAATTCACAAAAGCATGTCTATCAGGCTTCATTTGTCTAACAAAGAGACTAAGAGCCTAACTAAACTTAAAATGAATAAGAATGAGCTCTAAGACTTTTGCAAGTAGCAATGAAATAAATTCTTCCATGTGGGACTGATACGTCTTCCTCATACAGTGTTTTCTACTTTACAGGACACAGTGATTCCCTTGAGCAAAGCTCTCAGAGAAGAACAGGTAGAGGATTTTTAGTTCAAGCCTGCCTGGGAAATCAGTGATATAAAGAGACACTTTCAAAATACAATTTGTAAGAAGGTTGAGGCATAGAGTGACATGCAAAGGCCTTGGTTTCAATTCCCAGCCTTCTGAAAAGAGAACTTTTGCAGCGTTCATTCAAGATCCAATTTGTACTTCTAATTGTTTTTACATACATTGATCCCTTTCCAGAATTCTCAGGGTACAAATCTGAGATTTCATTTATTCCCTGTAACAGGTGACTTTCACATTAACATTCTTAGCAGTTGTGCTGTATTCTACTTGCAGGAGACAGCAAACATGCCAAGGATGGCAGTGTCTGGCCCACTAGTTGCTGTTACTTTCTGGACTGGCCTGTACATTTATGATTTCTCTTTTGAAACTTTGAACATCACATGATCTCAGGATCAAGCTCACCTGTCCTTTGGAAAAGACAAAACAAAATCATATTTGTATTTTTGAACTGGGAACCAGAAACCCTCTCTGTCCAATTGACATCTTGCACAGTTAAAAGTGCTGTTGCCATAATTTTGTTTCTGAACTCAAATTTCAGGTAGAAGGAAACAAACACTTGCCATAGACACAATTTAAAAAAACATAATAACCCCTATGGCAAGCTCTTCCTGAATTTACATAAGAAATCCTCATGTGTTTGGGTTTGAATTGTTAGAGCATCCGTGTATTCACTGTCATAAGCAATGGAAGACTCAGGTTTCCCCTGTCTCCTTCACTTAGGTACAAGCCTATGTAAGGCTAGGGAAATCAGTTGAATGAGAGTATGTTATTTGAATTTTGAGAGAAGACAATGAATATACCAAAAATATCCAAAGCATTTCCACAGGTAAGGTGCAATGCCCTTAACAGGCACTTCAGAATGAGATTTTGGAATAAAGCAGGCCAAGAACTGGGTGCTAGTGTAGAGAGAAAGACCCTAGACCCACAAGACAGAGAAAGAACAAATGTTGAAAAGCAAGGCAAAGTCAGCCTGAAATTATTGCCACAAGAGCCCTGGCCCAAGAAAGCCCACTCATGTAGGGAAAGAGCCCATAGCCTCCCAGGGTCCTGTGAATTTAAAGTTAAGAGCTTCCTATGAAGTGACTGTGCCCACCTCTGTCAGCTCTTTACCTTGTGACACCTCGCACTCACTTGTATGATGCAGGTGCTTGCCATCGCTGTTTTCTTTGAAAAACTGTTGTGCAACCGGTATCATCACACAGTTGTTTGACTAAATGTCTGGTTTGATTTGACTCTTGGGCCTGGGTTGTTTGAGCTGTTGTTCAAGGCTGTTGAACAGGTGAAAATGTTCCCATGGATGCTACCAGAACATTTCTGAGCCCCTACTTGACCAGCTCTGTTCAAGGCAGAGGCAGGCTCTCCTGGTTTTCGTTCATGTGCCCCTGCCCAGATCTGATCAGACTTCTTCTTTATCCAAGTACCTTTTCTGAACCAAAAGCACTAGGCCAGTTGAAATGCATCTTATGGTATCCGGGTAACCACATCTGTCACCTCTGTACTGTGGAGCATCTCACACTCACTCAAAAATTGATACAATGCCAAATAATGGCTTCCTTTCTTCTTTTTCTGTTCATGATTTGGGGACTGGCATTTGCCCCTATACAACAGAAACAGTTACCCATTGACTCTTCCTCTGATGGGCTGGTTCCTCTTCTCCTGAAAAAGTAATAGGGCAGTTGGAATGTATCCTATGGTAGCCTGCTTACCAGCAGTCAATCAGGAGCAGTTCCAGCTGCATACCCACCCCACTGTCACCTAGGCACTTGATTGAAAAAATATCCTGACCCATCTTGGGCTGCTCTCCCCCGTTCTACCTCAGTTCTAGGATACCTATTTTCTTTCTTCAGGTGTTGCCCGGAGTTTCTCTGGGTTTTGTAGCTATATAGGTGCTCTATGCCAACATTTTTACTAGAAAGCATCAGCTAGTAATGGGCTGGTTCCACTGGCAAGTCTCCTAGCCAGTCATACAGCTTTTGTTTTTTTTATGGAATCCTTTGTATCCAAATTGTTGAATGTTTTTGTTCCTTAGCATTCCTTTACTACAATCTTTCAAGTAAATACTCATTTACTCCTTCAACTTGGAACCCTGGTCATACTCTCAATAACTATTTTAGGCTGTGTGTCTTGAATTAGATTCTAAGCACCAAATCCCCACTTCATGAAGGGAGGAAACTCTCCATCTCTGTCCAACTCTTATTTTCTCACATTGATTTGTCCTTTCCACACAGATTCTAGATTTTTTTAATCTTTTGTTAACAAGTCATAAAGTCTAAGTTTCTCTTATAAAATTGAAATATCATAAAATGAGACTCCTAATTTGATAAGGATGGAGAACAGTTAACATTTTACAAATACTATGTACATTCTGCTCTTCTAACATACTCATATAATGCTCTAATGTAATTCTGATATTTGATAGCAAACTGAAATGCAGTTTGCATTGAACAGGCACAAAAACATCAGGCTTAACCTGTATCCTTCAGAGATTTTACCTGTTTTCAAAATAAGGCAGGCCCAAGTGTCAAATCAAACCAGATACTGGTCAATGCAAACTCAATTTTTGCATTAATTTTATAGCAGGCTGAAATGCAGTATTACTGTACCATGACAACATGACTTTCAGGGTGAGTCTAGACTCAAGTAGATCCTGAGGAGTGTTGGTCAACACAAGCACATTAACACGGTTGTATGCAAATGGAATAGAAGTCAAACTTCAGGGATGTGACAGTGAATATTTGGTTTTGTTTTAAGGAAGAAAATTTTTTCCTTCATATGGATTTTAATTTTTAATAACTCCTTCCTTCACCCATCCATCTATCCTTGTTTCCTTCCTTCCTTCCTTCCTTCCTTCCTTCCTTCCTTCCTTCCCTCCCTCCCTCCCTCCCTCCCTCCCTCCTTTCCTGGTACTGAGATTAAGTGCAGGACCCTGTGCTTGCCTGATAGGTGCTGAGCAACTGAGGTAAATCTCTGGTCCTCATTTGTATTTTAAATGTATTTCCTTCAGCCACATTAAGCCTGTTTTATCCCTGGCGTTCTATGTATGAAATAGTCCTAACTTGGAATAACTCTGAGTAAAAGTAAAAGCAAAGGCTTATGGAATGTAGTTCTCTGAGTTAACTCTGCTGGGCTGGGCTGGAGCATAGATTCAAGCCCAACTGGATCCAGGAGAAAAAGTCTCTACTGTAACCTAGAAATATGAAGATGTGGTTTACTAGTAAGGTAACCCAGAAATCTCCATGTATTTGGAAGATGATTGCGTTAGGCGTGAGTTACATCTGTTCTGATTTTAGAAGGAGGACTGGCTAAAGCAAATGGAGCACTTTGGGCATCACCAGGAGGTTTATATGCCTTTCTAGCTTCTCCCTTAACTTTCCGTAACCTGGAGCTTGTGAACAAATTTCTGCTGAAAGGCCTTTCTACCTTGCACTGCAGCCTTAAAACCCTCAAAATCTTAGCTAAAATTTTGAACCAAAATAAATCCCTTTCAGTCTTTTTCATGCATTCTAGTTCTTTCCTGTGTTGTTCTTTCAGTCCTGGAAACAACCCAGATGCCCCTCAATTGGGGCATGAGTGTAGATGTGGTTCTTTCCACAGTGCAGTACTATTTGTCTATAAAACAAGATAAATGAAGGCTTTTTTCTGTAAATTGATACAACTAGAAACCATACTCTGAAGTGAAATAAAGCAGATCTGCATGTGCAAACTTCTTATTGTCTCCTTAGTGTGAGAACCTGAAAGAGAAAATGGAATCTAAAGGGTAAAATACATACTAAGGAAAGAGTTACTGAGTTGAGGAGAAGGAAAGGAGAGGAAATAGGTGAACAAGATATATCTATGTATGTAGGCAGGATGGATTGAACATCTGAATTATACATTTTTTCTGTCCTATGAAATGGAATAGCTCATGCTTAATTTGTTTAGTCTGCTCTTTCCAATTATTTGTCATTTTCATCTTCCTAAATTCTTATATGTTTCTTTGTTTTTTTCTTTTTTTAATTCTGCATGCATCTGCCTAGTAGTATGAATAACTAGTTG